GGGGAATTCTGGGAGTTGAAGTCCACCCATCTTAAGTTGCTGAGGTTGAAGAACCCTGCCCTAAGACATCTGTGAGGGCCAGAGATAGATTTGGAAATAAAGAGGCTGCTTACAGCTACTGTTCTACATACATGCTACAGTTCTGCACTCATTCAAACACTGCCCCCCTCCTGGGCTGTCACCCCAAAGCTGTGACACCATTTGTCCCCGTGTGACAGTTTCCCCTTATGGACACACTCTCTCTCTCACCTTGTGGCTCTTCGGTCACCACCGCTTCCATGTTTTCTCCTTTCACATACTCTGCATTCAGACCCTCTAAAAATAGCAAAGAGTGGAAGAGATTTGACACCCAAAATTAAAACTTGCAAAGCTGTTGGGGGATGACTGAAGCTTACGCAGGCAACGAGAGGGCCGTTGTAACAAGTGCCATCCTTAAAGACACAGCAAAGATAGCACCAGAACAATTCTGAAGTAGACTTTTTTCCCCCTGATTTATAAGATTAAATCTCCACTTCTAAGCTCATTACAATCCTTTTAGATCAGTGTTTTTTCAAAGTCGGCAACTTTAAAGATGTGTGGACTTCAACTTCCAGAATTCTGGGAGTTGAAGTCCACGCATCTTAAAGTTGCCAAGTTTGAAAAACACTGTTTTAGATGGACCAATTGTGACTTACCTAGTGAATCCTGTGCTTAAGCAAAGTTTTAATGACTAGCATCCTTGTTCCAATTCCAGCAGTCAGTTCACTAAACAAGCACAATTTCCCTTGAACAGCACCCATTTTTCCATATCAGATATTTAGGATAAAGTAATCCAAACTCCTCCACTGGTTTTCTGGTTTCTTTTCTTTCTTTTTTTTTTAAGGGAATCCTGGATAGATGACATCCGTGGTAGGTCGTTAACCCAAATGAAGCTCAAGTGGGTGACAAAGGAATGTAATTAATGTAATGAAATGCCTGCCACATTTCAATAAAGATCTGTGAATATCATTGCCATAACTGCATCCTACATGATTTGGTAAAACAAAAATTAAATGGGCATAGCCTTAAAAACAGCAGCTGCAGCATCTGACAGCTGAAGAAAGAAAGGTAGCACCTTTGTTCCATCTGACTAAAGGACAAACCGGATGGGAGTTGGGACTTTAAAAGGCAAACAAGCATTTTAATGCTACAGCCCTCCTACATTTTAGCCCTCCTTCCCTGACATTATTTGTGTTTTAAACCTCCAACTTTTAACTCTAAAACAGGAAAGGAATCCATGGACCTCCAGATGCTGAGGAACTATCAGCCCAGCTGGCCAACAGGAGTTGATGCTCAGCCTCGCCCCAACCTTCCCTAAACGATTTCTATCACAAGCTTCATCCATCTGCCTTCCTTTAAAATATTTTCACTCCTGCTTTTCCATATCAAACAGATCCAACAAGGTAGATCAGTGTTGGCCTGCCCTTGGGAGAAACCGAGCGCCAAAATCTGGAGGCAGGGTAATGAGTAAACCTCCTCCACCACTTGCTTCTAGTATTAAACCAGGCCAAAGAGGGGCAGCAGAAAAGCCATGTCTAAGTCTAGCTGAGATGCTGTTTTATGCCATTTCCATAAAAAGTCCCTTCAGGAGCTGCTGTGCATTGCAATGCATCCGAAGTCTGACATTATCCCAGCATGCCACGTCTGATGGCTGAAATTAATCCTCCGTTATAATTAACTTTAATTTCCTGTCGTCTTTTCAGGGCATTGCGTGCTGCCTTTATCAAACGCTTTTCTAGACCCAAGGATGTTTCTTCTGAAGATCATGTATTTGCACACGCACACACATATACCCAGGCACATGTACAATGTACACCCCCATGCTTAATTTCCTGTTCAGTTGTTTTTATTATTGGTTTATATTTTTTTTTCCTTTCAGTTCTGCATCTTTCGATCGATAAAAAACCTTTCAGTTTTGCAAGGACTAATAACGTTTGTTCTCTCCCCAACATGGCTACTGACAACTGACAGAGCACTGGAGCAACACAGCAGGGGTTAGATAAATGAACCCATCACACTCCTCTGGGCGTATTCTGCTTATTCAATTGACTCATGTTCAGTCCTGTTTGATACGTTGCTGACAACAGCAGTGCAAGAAAAGGGGCACTCTTCCTCTTCCTGCTCTCACCAAAAGAAGATATCTACGAAAGGATGGATCCTCCCCAAAGTGCTGGTCCTCACTTTTACGCCCTGGTAAACTGCAGTGTTCCTCCCCAGCGGGAAAATGTCATCTCAGGAGAGCAAACCTTCCCCAACTTTGGCTGGACTACGCATCGAGCCACTGAATGGCATGAACCATGCCAGCCAAGTCACATTCCCATCCAGGTTCTCATCAGGCCCCTTCTAGCTTTACAAACCTGGAAGGCAATGGGAGGAGGACCTATTCTGGGCCCTTAGGGAATTCAATGGTTTGTAAACTCAGTTCAAGTTGCTTTCTTCAGTGCCAGCCAGGAGGAGAACTCACTTCAGCCAAGAAAGCAGAGCACTCATTTCTGCATACTGTAGATGATTCCTGCACGCTATGGAACTGAATTGAGAGGCTAATTGGTTGGAAGCCTGTCCTTGTCACCTTTCCTGAAGAGTTCTGCAGTTGATGCATTAACAAGTACTTCTATATAAAGAAGCCTCAACATGTCTTTAGGTGCTACAGAGTTTCACCACCACTACAGGAAACTGTAGCTGTGGGGCTTCTTTCCAGCCTCCCCACAAGAAGCAGACACTCCTAGAATGAACGGATTTGCTTACTCATAAAAGCAAGCACTTGGACTTCCTCTTGGACTCTCTCCCAACCAGGCATGAAACCAACCTCCTTTTGCACTAGGCCTCCCAGGTTCACCACCATCCTCTCCTCCCTTTCCACTTCAGCAGCTTCCTCTAAAGTGTTGACAGCTGATAGATGGATATCTAGACTCTCCTCTAAACATCCCATCTGGTCTTCTGCAGCTTAAGAGAAACCTCTTTCCATAATATTCAGGGCCCAGAATTTAACAAGGGTCAGTGATCATCTGGAGAGGACCCAAGTGAAGAAGATCCCATCACTTGTTTCATTCCTTGGTTGTAGGCTTAGTTTGGGAAAAGACTGTGGGCCCACATGGGTAAGGTGACTGGACTTTGAGGGACCTTCTCCCCACTAGCAGTCAGATCTCCTGCATTTGGTGGTCAGAGGCAGGGGAAATTAGAGACACTTACGTTGTATGCTAAAGCAGAATTTCTTCTGCTGGTAGGAGATATAGCTGCTGACAGCACCAATCAAGGCCATGGCAAGGCCACTAACAATACCAGCAATTGTCCCAGTCTCCACCAGGGCACCTGCAGAAGTGGAGGACAAGAGGAGAACATTACTGATGACGATGAACTGCATTCTAGAAGTTTATTCAAAGGTCCCCACTAATTTCTCTTCTCCATTCCTGCCAAATGACACACTATTGCTCTACCATACTATTCCTCTGGATCCTGTATTGCTCTATCAGGTGAATGGACCCACTTCTACAGCCTTCCCCAGCCTGACACCACACGGATATATCTACAGGAACTCTCCAGATTTGTAGCCTGTAGACCAATGGCTAGGAATAATGGGAGAGGTCATTCTGATGCTTCTAGACACACCGGGTAAAGTGATACAAGCTGTTGCTTTATACAAGCATCTCAGAGGTCTCCTTCATGCCTATCATCAAACCCAGATTTGGCTTGACAAGGACAAACCTGGCCCTTGAAGGCTTGTTCTTTTGGTTCAGCTAGGGCAAATCATAGTTTACAGTTTCATTTGAAAGGCCGATTGTATTGCTGCAGCTGTCCCCCCCCCCCCCCCTTTTATAAGAAAACCAGCAAATGCCCCTTTGAGTATGGTTGGTTCTTCTGGAGCCCATCAAAAAGTGGACCAGGCCAATTTGGGTCATGCAATTCTGAGCAGTGGTGCAAGAAGCGCTGGAAGAGTTCCAGGAAGAAGCTGAGAAGTGAACTGACAGCTCTCTTTAGTTTAAAAAACAAGGGTGAGCAAACAGTGGTCCCTGGGCTTCAACGTGACCCTCAGCCTAATCTCCACACCACACATAAGAGATCAGGTCAGACTCTGTTAAGAACCATCTAGCACTCCTCTACAGCTTGGTGCCCAGGACAGACAGAGAAGAGGGTTTTAAAGTGACATTTTAAAAAGCCAAGGGGACAAGGGAAATCTTCACCCCCTTTCAAGCTTTGCCCATCCACTGTTTGAAAAGAAGCTGAGATTCCCACAACCATGCTCACTTACCATTATTGTAATCAGTGTCACCATCTCCTATACAGAAGAATAACAAGCAATCAGTAACCAAGAACTAACAGAGAATGTGCAACATTTATTCAGCGCTGCCCTAAAAGCCTGAAACAAGTTATGGATCTTCTCCAGTTTACAGTATTATAATAATCTGGGATTATTAACCCCGTTTTATAGATAGGAGCCACAGCTGTAAGGTTCCTGTCACACTCACTCTGGAAAAGCAACAGGCAAGTTTTCTCAATGAGCCAAAGCACAGGAGAGTAGAGAGATAGTAAACGGGACTGGTGTTTGCTAGAGGATTTAGTAGACACAGCCTTATTCTTCAGAAATCAGCTGCTTGGGAGACCAACATGATCACCTGATGTAATAGTATGTGGGAAAGACCTTGGGAGACAGGGGGAAGAGACGCTGCCAAGGGAACAGTCAGATAAGAGACAGCATAGCCCACAGCTGCATAGTGGCCAGGACAAGAGGCTCAGAAGGGACCCTCCCTAAATTCTCAGGCTGTAAAGGAGGGAGAATTGTTCTTTCAGACTTGCAAGATTCTGTTAATGTAGCTTTACAATAAAGTAGACTTCGCTTATCTGGTCGTGTTTCCTGTCTGGTCTACCTGGGAAGGCTGACACCCTAGTAGCAAAGAAAGCAAGCAAAAGACACCCTCCTCATCTAATCTTACAAACTTGCTATTTATTCTCAGGTTTATGGTTCCAGGGATCTTCTCCTCTTCCCCCGAAAGTGCAGGATGCTCCCAGCTTTCTTTAAAAACACACCCTCCAAAATTCTGGTGCTCCTGGTGCCAAGGAGATATAGGTAAAGGCAAAGGGTGTGTTTACTGAAGTGTCCCAAACTCCGAGCAAAACTAAATGGGATGTCACGCTTTGGAGAGTGAAGATTCAGGGCTGTTCTCCTTTCCCATCATGAGCCAAAATGCGGATAGGAACGTGCCCATTTCTTAGGGCACAATAACGTGCACAGAACTTGGTTTTTGCCATCTCTGTTCCAACCACCTGGATGCAGAATGTAAACACTGTTCAACTCCCACAAATGATGGTCATGCGGGTTTTTCGGTTCATCTATTTAAGTTGCTGCTTCCTGAGCCTTATAGCTCAAACAGCCCCCTCCCCAAAGGGGAGCTACCTATGTCCAGACAGCCCCCTCCCCAACTTCGAAGCAACTCTATGGACCAAAGAGCCACCAAATTATCTTGGGGCTATTTTCCAACCCAGTGGGTTCTCCCCTTTCCCCAGAGTCATTTTTGGAAGGGCCTCTACACTGTAAAAATGCACATGATGAGGAATAAGGGGAAAAGTCTATGGACCAAACCTGCAGTTCCTTTCAGGTGGAATTGGGAGGTCTTTCCTATAAAAATCCTGCAGATTTTCCGTGGTGATGACCTGCATGCCCTGCATTTGCCTCTGTCCAAATCATCGCCTTGAAATACAACTGATTTACACCTTGGAGTTGAAAGCAAGGACAATTGGGAGGGTGGAGACTGTGTTCCTTCCCCTCCCCAATTTCTCTTCCTCCCCCTGTTCCGCAAAAGCCAATTTCAAGCCGCCCAGGGGGTGCAAAGCTAAACAAATAGATAAATAATCAATTAATCAATCCTGGGGCCATTTTAATTATCTTCTAATATGTTGACGAAGGAAGTTGGGTGCCGAACCGATGCTCTGCAAATCGCAGCCCTGTGTGAGCGTGCACACACTCGGCTAGCCCTCGTATTAATTAAACAGCTGCTGCGTCAGTAGCAATAAATGAGATTGATTATAAATTTAGCACTGTGCGCAGTCAAGAAAGTGGGTGCGGTTTGCAGAGAAATGGAAGCTTTGTCTGCACATTTCTGCACGCTGCAGCATAAGCAGTAATTTCCTCCCCTCCTCCATTCTCTAATTGGAGAAGAAAAACACTCGGGTGGCTCGAAAGAACGACTCCTTTGTGGTGCGATAAGAGCGGGCAAAGGAATACGTCTGATCTGGTGCATCTAAAGCCTCGAGAAACGCCAGTGCCTTATTTACACCTGTGCGCCTTAGTTTCATACGTTTCAGATCACAGCAGATTCAATGGCACTGAATGGCAAATTAAGAGACTCCTGCGAGTCCACGCTAGCCACCTAAATAGGGAGGGCACCCAATGCCTCTCTGCGTGATATTCTCCTCCCGCCATGCCCCCTTCCAAACAGCTTCTCCAGAGCACCAGTGATTCTGCTGCAGCCCTGCATTTAGGGATCCCTTCACTGCCGGGGAGGATGCGCTGCAGCGCCATTCCTCCTCTGCCCACCACAGCAGGGGCCCTTTGCAAAATGGCACCCCAGGGCCTGAGTAAATCTCCACCCTACTCCTCCAAATGAAGAGACAGCAGGCGTCACCCTTAGGAGGTTTCCTTTTCAAAGCAGCAAGCAATCCGCTCTCACAAATTTATGGCTGGGGGCGTGTGGATAACACAGCATCGTCGTCCAAGCCTTTGCATGCACCGTCTTACTAGGTCAGAGCCTCGGTTCCTCTGGGTCTGGAAAACCTTTACAGAAGAGATTGACAGCTTTTGCTTGGCCAAGGGCCACAGCTGACATTTGGGAGGGGCAAATGAGCAGGACAGGACCAGGATGCATACTTAGTTAAGAAGCAGAATTTTGTGCACTTTCCTCCGGTTCTAGAAGCGTTTGGGGTACAGGTGGTCCTCACTTAATGACCACAATAGGGACTAGAAGATTTGTTGTTAAGCAGGGTGGTTCTTAAGCAAGTCACCACGTGACTGGACCCAATTTTACAACTGTTTTTACGATGGTCATTAAGTGAATCACATGGTTGTTAAATAAATCCAGCTTCCCCAAAGGACTTTTTTTCCAGAATTCACTTAACAATGTGATTCACTTAACAACCATCGTAAAAAAGGTCGTAAGTCATGATCATGTGACCACGGGAGGCTGCCACAGTTTGTGATGGTTGTAAGTATGAGTACAGGTCATAAAGCGCTTTTTCAAGGCTGTCATAACTTTGAACCATTGTTAAACGAACAGCCGCTAAGCAAGGACTACCTGTATTGCCTTTCTTTTTTAACTATATTAAGCAAGTTGCAGGGGTTGTATCACATTTTTCATATTTCTCCTTCCCTAAAGTGGTGAGGGACTGCACTGCAGAGTTTGGGAAATGGGAGCAGCCAAAGCTCAGGGGGCCACTAGTTGTAAAGAGGGCCAAGATGATACCAGGTTTTGGGTCTTATGCCCTGGTAGAGGACAGAGGAATTGCCCCTTCCTTGCTTTGCATCGATTGTTTCATTCACAGCTCTGAATTCCAGATCCGGGCAGGAAGACAAAGGGGATACAAGTGAGATGGACAGGCCTATTTGTTCTAACAGCATCACTGTTTCTTTGTTATGACATCCACTGGAGCCAAGTTGGAAAACTAAATGCAATAAACACAAGGTCTCTCCAGCCCCCACAAATCTTGGTGGAAACTGACTCACTCGCCCATTTTAAGAACAGGAGGAGGGGTTATAATCCTACAGGACCACTGCTAGGAATTGATCACTGCTGCCATGTAACTCACTCCTCCATTCAGTGGCACTGGAAAAATTGCAACTATTAAAGAACTCAAAGAGTTGGGAGACTTTAAGATATCCGAGGCTGAGACCTTTGCAGGAAGACTATCCCTATCTAAGCAAACTTCTCCGTGGGCTATACGGGGGTGCCATACATTATCAAAAAGAAACTTGTGGGGTATGTGAGAGAGATGACACACATAAATAAACACACGTGGTCACCTTCCTTTTGTCCAAGTTGCCCCCATTTGCATACAATGTTCATGGATGTTCACACCCCCTGTGAACTTCTTCCCATTCCCAACAAGCAATTACTTCCAGCTTCTGAGCCTCAGCATAGCCTAACCCTGAGTTTGAATGTTCTTACACCTTCCATAACCTCCTGGCAGCTGAACCTACAGTCAGAAAGCCATGGTTTCAGTCAACTGATGGTACAACTCACACAGTTACATAAACTTATGGAAGTGAAGTTGCTGGCTAAACTTATCTCCTTGCTTTCTCATAAGTAGTTCAAGACAACAAAAGCACATAAATCAGCCTTGGACGACCACCTATCGGGATGTCTACAGCTGGGTCTTTCCTGCTTCAGAAAATGGGTAAATTCAATGGTCTTTGAGGTCTCTTTTATGATTCAAGCTATTTTTACACTTTATAGGCAAGAAGAGGAACAGCACTTAGCTCAGAGGGAGGCCCTAATATCCTCTTTCTGAAGCTTTCAGCGCCCCTCTGACCATGATGGTTGAAAACTGACAGTGCAGGTTCCTGACATTCTGAGATGAGAAACATGGAAACTCATGCATAAGCCCTAAAATACACAGATCAGTTAAAAAACAAAGAGGACACACACACCCCCAGATCCCTACCCCGTCCATACACATGATGTGTCTCATCCTACTTCACAATTCGCAGCTCTTCCAAAGTGTTACGTCAACAAGGGCGGCAACAACTATCTGCCTTGCCAGGTACACTCCCAGCAAGACCTGCATCTGAAGTACATCAGGAGAGATCAGAAGCCAGCATGGAGACCCCAAGGGGTTCTCTCTCCAGCCCATGCCTTCTGCCCCCATTCCTGCTTTTCTTCCTCTTGCTTCCTTCTCTAACTGGGAAATGAGGAAGCCTCTGATCTCCATTTGGCACCTCACTGGAAGTTTTTTTTCCCACCCTCAAGGCTTTAAAACCTGTTCCACTGAGATCAAAGGAAATCATATAGCATTTTTCCAAAAAACAGAGCAAGCTCCCTCTGCAACCATTGGGGAATTCAACCAGTTGGCCAAACACTTTCACTTGGAGCACAGCCGTCGCTTGCAATGGTCCTGAACGATCATACGGATGAGCCCATTCTGTTTGCTGAAAGCTTAATAGCTAAACCTACAGCTTTCAAGACATTGCTAACGCCAACTCCCAGCATTCCTCACCTTTCACTGCAGCTAGCCAAGCAGAGAGAAACCTACCTTTTTTCTTATCTGGCTGATAGCCTCCTTCGTCCACGATACCAATCAAGTCAGCATCAGAAATTCCTGAGAAGTCCAAGTAAAGTCCACTTATTTAAAGTTCCACATTTGTTATTTTTTTACTGCTCTTTAGCCAGATTTACCCTTCTTTTTTAGCCATGAGTAAAAGCATCCTGGTTTTAAGAACAGTATCCAAGAAGAAGAAAAATGCCTCTTAGTTCGATTGATGGTGGCTATGTGTATGGATTAGTAAAGGAGTTACTGGCTAGAAGCAAAAGTTATGAACAGTGAACAATAATTTATGTGATGTTAGTTATTATCTAAAAAGGCAGTCTTACATAAGACTGTCCGAAAGAACAGATATTTTTTAAAAAGTGAATGTACCTCATATAACTGAAGATGTTTCCCCTTATTATTTTTTGGGGGGGGGCACTAGCACAGGAATGACAGCACCACATGGAGGCATCAAAAGGCATCTTAATTTGCACACTTTGGTTTTATCTGGTCTGGAGAACCACAATCCACATTACCTGGAAGATCTGGTCTTGATCCATAACAAATTATTTGTTCGTTCCATATTACCTGGACACATCTGAATGGAACACGTTCTACAGGTGTTCCACAGAGATTCTGCCATTGGAAGGATACAGGAACACCAGCCATTCCAAATCAAGACCAAGGGAAGCCCATGGACATCCACAGAGATTCTGAACTCTACTTTTGGATTCCCTGCCCCAAATTAAGGTAAGCCCAAGAACGAGTTGACAGATTGCACTTGCAAACATTTCCAGAAATGGAAATCTCTGGAGTTGCCTGGAAGCATTCCTCTGTCTGGGAATACAAGTATGTAGTTTATGGACCAAGTGCAGTTTGTTTTTTAATGAATGCCTGCAAAATCCTCATATTAAATTAAGTGTCACCAAAAGGCCTGCATCCAGACGCAGAGGTCTTTGCTTTGCTTGGGGGCAGAGGTAATTTATCACTTCAGATTATAAGAAGGGATACCCATTCCCAGAATTCTTACATA